CCCCCCCCCCCCGCCCTACCCCACCACCACCAATAGACATCTCTCCCGCACACGGAGTCTAAAACTCGAACGAGAACACCTCGGTGTCGAAGAGCTTCCAGTCGACCGCACGCGCGCTGGCGAGCACGCCGTCTACCATCGAGGTAGGGCCGCTCGTGATGACCTTGATCTTGTCGGCGCCCGACTTCTGGGCGAGCTCGGCCTCCTGGGACAGCAGCTGGGCAATGGGCACTCGGCCGCGCTTGACTTCGTACGCGACGCACCCGTCGGTAGATGATGCCTCGGGGTCCATCTTGAATTCCTCCGTTGTTCGTGCTGACTCTCCCACCTATTTTGTATGTGTGGTGGAAGGTCGGGGGTTGTTGGGCGGGAGACGGAACAAAATGAGGGGAGGGGCCAACAAAAGTCAAGAGGGAGTGGCTTTGTTTTCATGTATTGGATGGAAGACAGAACAAAAACAGCAGGAGGGAATCGTCTAAGGGTTATTTTCCTCAAAAAGATGTGTGTATTGGGTCGGAGACTGCACCAAAAACAATTTTATATCCCTGATTCGAACGTTCATTGTCGTGAACGACAAGCTGCGATACGGCCTCCCTTCAATCGTCAGTCGATGTGTGCATCGAGTGAGGATGGATAACCGCTCGGGAGTCTCTCCCGCAAAACGCGAAAAGTGTGAGCTCTGTTTTGCAGCCGGGCGCCGATGGGACGACCATCTTTCGGTCGTAGGTGTCCCTAACCCCGAACACAGATGCGGGATGACCATCTTTCGCCTACAACACCATAGCGTGCGTTCGTGTGTGTGGTCTTTATCTTCGGGGAAGGGGGAGCCGCGGTGGGGGGGGGGGGGGCGGGNTTCAGAGTCCCTGCCGGTGACGCGCTTGAACAAGTCGCGGATCCAGCCGTAGATGATGACGGTGCTGACCATGCAGATGATCTGGAGCAGCAGGATGATTCCGCCCTCGTGGTACATGTCGTCGATGCTGCGGCGGTCCACTTCCCACGTGCCCAGGAGCCACGCGCCGGCGCCGACGAGGCCTGCGTTTCACACAACACAGAGATCGCCAAAAGAAGAAAGAATAATCGGGATCGGAGAGGCTTGTGTATGCTTGTCTGCGTTTACAAAACAAATACATATAGACCACTGTAAGTAGATCCTAAAAACAAAAAAAATGAACGCTAGACTACTCGGGATCGGTAAGGCTGTGCGTGTGCTTCGGGATGGGTCTATCCCATGCAGGTTGGTGGCCGTGTACCGCGTTCTTAGCAAGCAAAGGGCTTCGGGCTGCCCAAGTTTGTGTGTCCTCAGCTCTTCTTGTCGAGCCTGCGACACGAAGGCTCTCTCTCGCTGTGGTTTTACCTACATACTCTTTTTCGCATGTTTGTTTTCTTCTTACCCGCGAGAATGACTTTGATGCTGTAGTCGAGGCTGGTAGCGATGGAGTTCTTGCTGATGACGTGCTTGTCCAGGGTGCTTCTGTTGTAGGCCGTGGAGTTGAGAGGCCAGGTCACGCTAAGGGGAACGTCGTCGTTGCCACTCTGAATACACCAACAGTGCCATTGAGCATGCGGGGGGGGGCGAGCTTGTTAGGGATCAGCCACCGTACCCTGAATACGTGTATCCATACACATCACAGATTATTCCATTCTGTGTGTGTGAGCACTGATTCATTAAGAAATACATGCAAGTGTCGCCAAGCTTATCAATTTTCACCTTGCCGCTGCAATAGAGGGACATGGAGAAGTGGGTGTCCTTCACGCGACCGGCGCCGGCGAGCAGGGACGGCAGGGCCTCGCCGACGAGCTCCATCTCGGAGAGGGTGCGGCAGCACCACGCCATGTGCACCTCGGGCACGGAAGCTCCTTCGGCGGCGGCGACGCACCAGTCCTGAGATTGAGTGCGGGGGAGGAGGTTCAAGAAGCGGCGGGTCAGTGGATGTGTGGACGAGCCAAGCCGAGATGCGGCGTGTTTTCGTGCGGGCGAAAGGCGGTGGATTAAAGGATGCTTTGGACGAGTTAAGCCGAGATATGTCGTGTATTTCGAAGGAAGGAAATTTTGGAGATGGCGGGTTATGGAGGAGATACATGTAGACGAGTTAAACCGAGATCGATGAGACAGCAGCAGACTTCATGGTTCGCCCGCCTCCGTCCCCGCCCCCACCCCCGCCCCATACAAGACTACATGGCCTTCTCGGAATCTTCCCACTACCATTGTCTGGTGTTTGTTCGGAAACCACTTTAGTATCCCCTCCCCCCTCTAGACATAAGTGGGTTGGCGCTGTTGGCAAAGCGCTGTAAAACACGCCACCCCAAATATAGCTCCCATAGTATGTGCTACCAAATACGCGTGACGCATGGACGAGTGGAGTGAGAGGATTGCTGTTTACGGAAACCTCACAGTTTGGTTAATGTAGGAGATTGCCGGACACATAGATAGTCGTGTTGAGCGATTATAGCTGTATACTGAAACCTCAAGGGTTGAGTGAGGTTTGAGATTGCCAGACACATGGACGGGTTGAGTGGGGATAGATTCATACTGAAACCCCACGGGTTGAGTGATGTTGGAGTGCCGGACACAAGACGCATTGAGTGAGGACAGACACATACTGAACCTCACAGGTGATTTGTGATGGAGATTGCCGGACACATAGATAGTCGTGTTGAGCGATTATAGCTGTATACTGAAACCTCAAGGGTTGAGTGAGGTTTGAGATTGCCAGACACATGGACGGGTTGAGTGGGGATAGATTCATACTGAAACCCCACGGGTTGAGTGATGTTGGAGTGCCGGACACAAGACGCATTGAGTGAGGACAGACACATACTGAACCTCACAGGTGATTTGTGATGGAGATTGCCGGACATATAGACGTGTTGAGTGAGGATAGCTGCATACTGAAACCTCACAGATGGATTGGTTTTTGAGTTTGCCAGACCCATAGACGCGTTGAGTGGGGATAGCTGCATACAGACTCGCAAAAAATCAGGAGCTAAGAACTTGAGCACCATTTGTGAGCTCGGTTTAGAACCCCACACCAAAACCTATATAGCGGCCATTTGTAGCCCACAAGAGGATGATGATCAGCAAAATGAGAACCTCAGCCTCGGCCGAAACTAGAGCGGGGGCGCCATCTGTACTGAAACCTCACAGATTGGTTTTTGAGTTTGCCAGACACATAGACGCGTTGAGTGGGGACAGCTACATATTTACACCTTACGAGTTGAGTGATGTTGGATAGTGCCGACACATAGACGCTTTGAGTGAGGAAATACACACACTGAAACCTCACAGACAGGTGATTTGTATTGGAGATTGCCGGACACATAGACGTGTTGAGTGAAGATAGCTACATACTGAAACCTCACGAGTTGAGTGATGTTGAAAAGTGCCAGACACATAGACGCTTTGAGTGAGGAAATACACACACTGAAACCTCACAGACAGGTGATTTGTATTGGAGATTGCCGGACACATAGACGTGTTGAGTGAAGATAGCTACATACTGAAACCTCACGAGTTGAGTGATGTTGAAAAGTGCCAGACACATAGACGCTTTGAGTGAGCATAGCTGCATATTGAGACCTAACGGGTTAAGTGACGTTTGCGACTGCCGGACACATAGACGCATTGAGTGAAGAAAGCTGCATACTGAAACCTCACAGGTTGATTTGTATTGGAGATTTCCGGACCCAAAGACGCTGAGTGAGGATAGCTGTATACTGAAAATCCACAGTAGCTATAGTGAGGGGACAATTCGAGAAAGCAGTACAGATAGACCCGACCCCCAACCCGTTCCCGACCCCCCCCTAAAAAAGAGAGGCCATGCGCCCCCCTCCTCCCTCTACCTCCCCCAGAGGATGAGGAGGGTACAAAAGGGCAAAGCACGAGCAGGGAAGCTTCACCCAATACTCGCAAACCGGNCCAAAGACGCTGAGTGAGGATAGCTGTATACTGAAAATCCACAGTAGCTATAGTGAGGGGACAATTC